TCTTTTATCTCAGTATTCTTAACAGTGTTGTATAAGGTTTTTTTATGCATAATAGTAACACTAGAATGTGATCAAACTGTTTAAAATAGCTGGGCTAAGATATATAACGATTTTTATTATTGCAGAAATATGTTAATTCAGTACACACATTATCCCACCGGTCACAATTGTGACCGACCATAAAACACAATTTTTCACACACTTTTCCAAAATAAAAATTCAATAAATAATTATTATTTCAAAGGGTTATTTTCATGCCTGGGAAAAATTGGGGATTAAACAGGTTAATGCCTTTTAAACTCTACTCTCCAAAATGTAACTAATTTTGAAATATTAACAGGACTGTCAAAAATTGTATTCTTTAATTAAAGTTCAAAAGAACAGCATTTAATTGAAATAGAATCTTTTGTATCATTCTGAAAGTCTTTACTGTCACTTTTCATCAATTTTAAATAAGAATAATTAAATAACCTTGCTAAATAAGAGCATTCATTTCTTCCTTGCTTTTCCACAAAAATATTAAGCAGTGCAACTGTTTTTAACATTAATAATAATCAGAAATGTTTCTTGAGCATTAAATCAGCATATTAGAATGGTTTCTGAAGATCATGTGACACTGAAGACCGGAGTAACGATGCTGAAAATACAGCAGTGCATCACAGGAAATAATTACATTTTAAAATATATTCAAATAGAAAACTTTTTTTAAAATTATAATAATATTCCACAATATTACTGTTTTTATTGATCAAATAAATGCAGCCTTGGCTTCTTTCAGCAACATTAAAAAGTCTTAACTGTTCCAAATTTTGACTGGTGCTCTTTCTCTTTCTGCTTCCTCTTGTTGGACCTTTAAGGGTGCGAACAATGCAGAAGCTACTAATTTTCTCAGCGATGATCACTAAGCCATGGACAGCAGCGGGGCTTGGAGTAGAGTGAGTAGGCATGAACATTGGCATGAGATTCATTAGCATGGACATCACTGGCAAGACACTGCCAGCTGATGACTATGAACGTGAGACACCTGTGCCTGTACCACCAACAGCTGGGAGAACAAGCAGAGAGTAACCTTTCCCCCGGACAGGGCAGAAAGACAATGAAGTGGGGGTTAAAGCCAGATGGAGGCGAATGGCCGGATACCCAGACTCGGGTAAGTGAGGATGGCGTTGAGTTGGTGCAGGTTAGGAAGCGTTGGTGAGTGTGGCAGGCTGGGCATGATTCAATCAGCAAGAGGGACTCGAACACCCATTACATCCTTTTCATTCTAGAGTCAACAGGATGTGACATATGGCACCTGCCTGTCAGTGTGAGGCACATCCTGTCAGGACTTTAAGCACTGGCTGCAGAGTCTTTGGGCGAAAGCTCTGCTCCAGACTCCAGTCATGCTGTCAGAGCCGTTTACTCACACAGCTGTGCTGGACTAAACTCGCAAATGGAATCTCTCTCACTTCTGAGAGTTACACTACCTCAGGCACTGGCTTAGATTGTGTTTACACGTGTGTATGGAAGGAAATAGTCAGATGTAAAAACAAATGGGTCATTCTTGTTATGCAGAACATTTTCATGTCTCTATCATATATACCTTAATACATAGCATAAAATAGAACTGCTGCCTTGGCAACTACCTGAAATAATAATACTTTTTTGTATATTTGATTTTATTTTAGTTAACACTTATTTAACGTCAAGTAACAACAATGTTTTTTAGTTAAACACAGTAACCCTGGTTTAAATTAATTGCTTTTCTTATTTGAGTAGATGTTGCCATTTTCCACTTATACTGTAAATAACATAAAAAAATTAGCAATTTATTAAAACATATATCAGGTGTTTCTTCATTTAGTTTTCACTTCTCCGATCAAAAGGTTTCAAATAAATCATTTTCTGGCATGCTTTCTTCCCAATATTGGTATTAGTTTGTTTTATCTATGTCCTCAACTTTGCTTCCACTTTTGTAATAAGTTCTTAATGACATTATCTTCTACAAAGCAACATTATATTTTGTGGAAAAACAACACATACCACTTGATTATAATGTATTAGCAAAGGATTTGATGCCGGTTAATAAAACAATCCATATCCTGTTAAAATTACGATATAACACAATCAGGATTTCAAAAGATGGTTAAGAAAAACTATCCAAATGAACAAAGCTGACAGCTTCATGTAAGCCAACGCTAAATCGCCTATATTTCCACCCTTCTGTTCTGTTAGATATCCTTAAATCATTTTCTTGCCATTGTATAAATAATTAAGTTAAAATGAATAATGTTTTTACGTTCCTCAGTGTAGGCAGAGCACTAATTATAATCTGGTATAAACTATAAATTACAACACCAGGATATTCATTTTCTAAAACTTGCAGAGCTCAAAAAGTGTTGCATAACAGGAATGACAGCAACATCTAGTAGGACATTTTATTATATTTAGTACAATACTCTCTGTATGTGCATGTCTCTTCAAGCCATCAAACCTCATTCTGTATCACTATGTCTGTGCATTTGTGTGCTCAACAGTGAATTAAGGGCAACAGCTACATACTTTAAAGATGACATTATTATGTGAGTGTCTGGCTGAGGACTAATCACACAAGCCACATCACATTAATATCAATTAAGATATGTCAAAACTGTTATATTAGTTATACAGTGAGGGCAAAGTAAGTGCTTTAACACTTAACTCTCATCAGAGCTCTAACTGAATCAATTGCTACTGTAAAGATGAGAGAAGCAGGCCCGCATATGGGTGCTACACTGTGCTCTGGACGTGCCCAGCGCTGTCAAGAATTGCATCTAGCACATGTAGCTTAATGAAAAGCCAAATGTAGAAGCCACACTGTCCAGCAAGGCATGATGGTCTACTGGAAGACTGACCCCTCGCTTAGCTGGATAAAGCTACTGGTGGTCTCCTCTTGGGGGTCGTCTTCAGGGGCAATCTGGGCCCAGCTGCCTGAGCCACTTTCCTCACTGCTAGCGCTGAGAGAGCGTCGCTCCACCTCCACACCTGCAGAGGGCGCTGTGGCCACTGAGGAGGCCCTGTCTTTGTCACTGCTGAGGGGGGAAAGAGGACACACAGCAAAACTGCAGTGTCACAATGAGCCAGTAATTCTACCCGACGCCTGATCCTCAGGCAGCAGCTGATGATCTCTTCTATGTAAAAATGCTCTTTATTATTAAATTTGCTAACTTTGTCCCAAAGTGTTGTTCGTTGCCCAGAGCCTGGGTCAAGAAAAGGAAAAATCAGGGGAACATAGGTATAAAGTCAATCTATATTTCTCTATTTTTTTGTTTAGCAGTGAAGGAAATTGTTGGTAAACATGGGTGTTCCAGAGGAGAACCACTTTACAGAGATGTGCTGTTTGGATATATAAACACCATGTGTGACAATACATGAAGCAAAATGTTTTGTGTTATCTTCTGAAAACTTCTGAAAAAGGGGTCATGAATTGAGAATTCTCCATGATCTATAAGAGGTCACTGTACTATAGAAAAACACTGTAAGTTTTCGAAACATCTTGTTAGTCCAAAAACGCTTTTATTGAAACCAAGCTGCCAAAACAACTCATTTTGTACACCCTTTTCTTCATTATGTAATAAAGGTTAATACATCAGCAGAAGACTGCCTTCACATACACAGACCAATGCCTACTTCATCATTCCCTTTTTGGCCCACACTCACTGGCGTGGCAAAATCAGGGTAGAATACAATTTAAGAAAAGTGCAATTCATGACACCTTTAACATTTGTGCAATCCTTCTCTCTTGTTTTTCCCCCCAACTTTACTCTTGCACACATTGGGCTGTGAGCAGTTATAAGAATTAAGGCTTAACCTCTGAAAGAAAGGTTGTGGGTGCTTTTATGTAGACTGTACCTGCTTTTGGTTGCTGTCTCATTCTCTTTGCCACATTGTGGCTGGATCTGATGGGATGCTTCTGTGTGGTGGGGCCCAACCCTCCCCCTGTCTTCTAGGCCCTCTTCTCTTTGATCTGGTTCAATGTGGATCAAGGGTACCTCCCTCTGTCCACGCCATGCTTGCCTCAAACAGGATGAACTGTGAGAGCTACCGCTATTTTCTTGATGCTCTATACTTGGCCGGTTTCCACTATTTTCACGACGAGACTGTTTAAAGCCATGTCTCCTTTCTCCAACTGGAATGTGTGGCTGACAAGCAGCCACAACGTCATCCTGCTGGCCTCCAAGCAAGGATTTGCCATTCTCTACGAGGTTAGCAAAGAGCTGTACATGTGGCTGTGAGTCTGCTGAATCGAGCTCCATACTGTCCTCTGAGGGCTCCGCAATTATCTTATTCTTGCGCATTAGAGACTCGATAGAGCTGGCCCAGGTTTCGTGAATCAGCATGTCTGTGATTTGGTCCGTTTGG